TTAAAATAACATAATTTTAAAATATTTAATTTTTAACTTTTTATAAGTCTAGTTGATTAATACTTGATTTCTTGTAATTAGTATAATAAAATGAAAAAAAAAAAGAGGAGAGAATTCATAGCCTCCGTAGGTTTCAGTCCCAGAATTCTCAAAAACAGATAATGGATTGAACACATACAAACCTGTTCATTAGCTGTTGTTGGTTACTCGGATGAGTTTTGGTCCATCCAATTGGCATATTCTTATCAATTTTCAAAACAGATTTTTCCTGAAAGCAGGTTGATACTTTTATTTTTTTTTTATTTTTTTAAAAATAAAATCTAATGACAATATATATAATAATTAATAGATACTACTTGCACTTGAGCTTTTAGTTCAATGACGTCCGGTCATATATAAGTATATTTTTTTCTTTCAAAGTAACGATTTGATATCAATCCCTTGTAAATCTATTCAGAAAAAAATTAATAGATACTACATATTATGAATAGATTATATTCTTTTGTATTGTATTGTGAATTTTTTAAAATGATAATTATATTAATAATATTACTATTTATTTTAAAAAAAATAAGAGTGATGAATCTAAAATTTAACTTTCACATCAGGAAAAATGTTATAATTTTATTTTTTATAAAAAAAATATGATCGCTTAAATCATAAAGGTAACTTAGTGTATTGTGAATTAAAATTTATTATATTGAGACAGAGAATACGTAATTATGTGAAGATAAGTAGTAATGTAGGGTGATTAAGAAGAAACATTTCAAATTACTCCAATTAACTAGATTACGTATGTAGAAATACATGGTACATATGTATATAAATATAATCCCTAGGAATAATTTGGTGGACAAGGACAAGGACAAGCCAAAAACAAAAAGGAAAAGATTGGAATTGGATCCTCTCTACGAGGAGAAAAGAAAGAATAAAAAAACCATTAGAGATAACAACCCATTACCGCCCCTCATTACAAAATTATTATATATAATATAGTATTAGTATTAAAAGAACAAGGCCTGCTTAGCGTTAAATTTTTTTTTTTATTAATTTTTTAGTATCCTATAATTACATTGAGTCCTATTTAAGGCGTATTTGATACAGCAATTAAAATTTAGTGGATAGCAGATAACGGATAGTGGGTAACGGATAACGGATATCGATAACGAATAGCGGGTGACGGTTAACGGATAACGGAAGTGAGTAGCGGATAGCGGAAGTGAGTAGCGGATAGTAAATAGCGAATTCGATAAATATAACTATTTGACTATACAATAGTTAGTGACTATTGTT